GTGTGTGTGTGTGTGTGTGTGTGTGTGTGTGTGTGTGTTGTCAATGTGTTTACTTTGAGCAAGCACTACGTGTGTGGCAATCTTCGGTATCTTTGAAACTCCATTTGAGATTGGCGAACAGAAGACATAAACGGAAGACATAGACGGAAGACATAGACGGAAGACATAGACGGAAGACATAGACGGAAGACATAAACGGAAGACATAAACGGAAGACATAGACGGAAGACATAAACGGAAGACATAAACCGAAGACATAAACCGAAGACACAGACAGAAGACATGTAGTGAAACCAAAGACAGAAAACACTTAGTCAAGATATAGACAGCAAACATGTAGTGAAAGCTTAGATAAAAACATGCACCACGGAAGACACGGAACACAGACAAGAAATATGACAATGTACAGAAGACAAAGACAGATGACATACATAGAGAACATCTAATGAAGATAGAGAAAACAGATACTAAAGACACAGACAGAAAACATGTACTGATGATATGGAAAGAAGAAAGAGACAGAAAACATGTTCTGAAGATAGATCTATATGAAAAGAAGACAGTGATAGAAAACATATATTGAAGACAGAGACAGAAAACATGTACTGACGATATATGAAAAGAAGACAGTGATAGAAAACATATGTTGAAGACAGAGACAGAAAACATGTAGTGAAGAAATACATGTAGACAGAAAACATGTAGCGAAGACCTGAACAGCAAACATGTACCTGAGAAAGAGACAGAAGACCTACTGAAGACATAGACAGAAGACCTACTGAAGACATAGACAGAAGACCTACTGAGACATAGACCAACTGAAGACATAGACAGAAGACCTACTGAAGACATAGACAGAAGACCTACTGAAGACATATAAGACACATCGCTTAAAAGACAGACTGCGAGGCAGATAGTTCAACAGAAAATACCTTCATATCATGCAAAATAGACCCATGAGAGTGCAACAGTAACTGCTCGCAGTATTTTGACCTACATACCCCCAACAGACAGACAGAAGCCCTCTGGCATGTGACAGGAAGGCACAGCAGAGCAGATTTAGACCGAGCTTACCGTGTGTAATGACATAATTTGATACGAGAGGTCGCCTCTCTCTATAGGCAGGCGCTTGCTGAATTCAACACGGCAAATAATGATGTGTGCTACAGGTTTGGATGTTTTCTCTTCTCCTGGGATAGATATGTGTACTCAAAGGCTGATATCATCTCCTCGCGAACATGATACTGGTATGACAAATAAGATAACGATGGTACATTCTGTAAGTGTAACAGTCGAGAAACTGTCTCCGTCAGATCGTTGTATCACTTCGACAGTCGCTGTCTGTGTTTGAGACTTTGTTGAGTGGATTTGTATAGATTACAGCAAATTTCACTGATTAGTCGGTCGTATTGTTCGAACGTTCGGGGATTTTGTTTAATATTCTTAATTGAGAAGGCTGTTGTTTTTTTGTACGTACGGTAGGTTAGCAAGACGAGTGATCAAGTCAAGCGTTTGTGTAAATGTAGTTTGTGCTATAGAATATGGAGTTATGTGTGTGCATGAGTGTGCCTGTGTGTATGTGGCTGTGTATGTGTGCGTGTGTGTGTGTGTGTGT